GGTCCTGCGTGTTCCCCCTGGAGGTGGCTGAGGACACGGCGTGCTGGAGAGGGTGGGGGACTGGCCCTTCTGCGGAGGGAGGGAGCCAGGCCGGGAGTGGTGGCGCAGACACCCCAGCAGGATACCCCAAGTGTCATCAAGGGAGGGGACCGTCCCCCCTGATGCCACTGGACTGTGCCCCGGTCTCTGGGTCAGTGTGGTCTCTGCTCCTGGCGTGGAGCTGCCGCTGGAACCAGCCTTCGGGCGAGGCTGGCAGGACCACGGCCACGAGCCAGGGACAGGCAGCTTGGGATGAGGAGGCAGAGCTGGGGGTGCTGAGGAGTACCCCGTCTGCTTGACCAGAGAGCCCAGATTCTTGCTTTTCCTTCTCTCTCTCGCTTTTTAAAATATCACTCGAGGATATTTCCCATTGATTTTTTTTAGAGAGATTGGGAGAGAGAGGGAAAGACAGAGAGAAACATCGACGTGAGAGAAATACATTGATTGGTTGACTCCTGCATGTTCTCGAACCAGGGCCCAGGCCGGGGAGGAGCCTGCAACCGAGGTACATGCCCGTGACCAGAATAGAACCCAGGACCCTTCGGTCTGCAAGCCGACACTCTATCCACTGAGTGACACCGGCTAAGGCGCCTTTCCTCCTCTTCACCTCCTCAGATGGGAGCAAGCCTGGTCTTTCGGGATGTCTAACCCGGAGCCAGGCTGCCCCAAGGTCAGCAGGCCAGGTAGGCTCCTCTGGCCCCAGCTGGAGGGGCACTGCGAGGGCAGGCACCTGGCTGAGGTGTGAGCGCTGCCCCTGTTCTCCCCTCTGCCTGCAGGACAAGGCCCCTCCCAGACCCGGGTCAGCAGGAGGCTGGCCCAGGTGGCCGCTGGCTGAACCCCAGAAAGCTGCCTCCACACCTCCCTCCAGGCCTCTCACCCAGGCAGGCAGCTCAGCTGCCCACAAGCAGTCCGAAAGAGCCTAAGTTTAAGCAGCTTAGTGGGGCTCTGAGGGGGAGGTCCGTGGGGTAGGGGCAGGGCCAGGCCTGGAGGGAATCAGTGACTAAGAGAGAATGTAGGGATCGGTTATAGGGTTAAGCCTTCTACTGACCTGCTAGCAAAGCCGCACACAAGTCCCAGCTTGGACGGCACAGCCCTCTACGCATAATTAAACTTGATCTTGCGCCTGCTCCCTAGATCTCTCCTGGGTAGCTAGTGGGCTGTGAGAGGGGCAGCAAGTGCTGCCAAAACAAGTGAAACTCACAAGAACACTGAAAATCTGTCTTGTTTGTCCCTGACCACAAAATAAAGCATCAGCTTTGCAATCTGGGTCTGTTCTCTGGCCTCAGCCAGGCATAGAAGATCCACCTAGACCCAGCTTATTCTCTTTGTCTGTCTTTTCTTCACCCTTCACCGGCCCTCCCTCAGGCTTGCCGAACCCTTGGTTGTGCTGGCGTGGGCACAAGAGAAGGCACAGGGCACTGGAGGTTCCGCTGACCTCTCTTGCAGGGATGGGGGTCGCCTGCAGCCAGCTGTGGGCCTGCCCCGCCCCTCCGCTCCAGAGCTGCCTGATTTATTCTCTTTGCAAACACAGGCAGGGCCGTCTAAACAGACAGCACATCCTCTCTGCGCTCAGCACTGCCCTGGCGGTCTGTATCCGCAGGACCCATGACGACAAGTGACACTTCCCAGAGCCCCTCCCCAAACCGCCTCCAGGGGACAGACACCTCCTCTGGCTGCCTCTATCCGGGGAGAGGCTCCCATTGCATCACCAGATACATGCTGGCCGCCCCAGACTGTGTCCGCTGGGTCCTGGTGCCAATGGCCTGGGGACCCCTGTTCTCCATCTGGACCTCTGGGGGAAGAGATGGCGTAAATGGTAGTTCCTGGCGTCCTGCTCCCCCTCCCTGCTTCCTGCGTGCTCCTCCCTGTCCCCTTTAGCCTGGCTGATGCCTGCTCGGTCCGAGCTCAGCGAGGGTCACTGCCTCCGGAACCCTTACCGCCCAATGGGCCGGATTAAGTTTTGGGTACGTGCCACCGGGAGGCGTCCATTCACGCATGCCGGCGTTCACCACCCACAATACTGCGGCCCCCAACGGCGCCCAGCCTGTGAGAGGCGGGGCCTGGGCCCCTGGAGCTCACTGGGGGCGGGAGAAGGCAGAAACCCTCTGGGTCCGTCCGGGGGGGACACACTGCAGCTCCTGTGACCCGGAGGGCAGAGGGCCTGGAGCCAGCTAGATGGTCTCAGCCTGTGGCACCCCCTCCTCCCTCCTCCCCCATCTCTTTGCTCTGTCTCTCTGCCTGGTTGGCTGCACCCAGCTGAGGCTGGGGGGAGGGGGGTTATGGGATCCCTGTGCTTAAGCCCCTTCAGCGGGGACCCTCGCCCCCCACCAGGCTGGCTGCTCAGACAGACACAGGGTCAAAGGCCGCCGCCCCTCCCCCAGCCCTCAGTCTGCAGACAAAGCCACGGAAGACAATCCAACGACGGCAGACACGTTGGTCCGCAGACATCCCCCTCTGGGGTGGGGTGGGGGGCAGGGAGCGCCCCTGGGGCTGCTGACGAGGGAAACAGGCTGAGCGGCTGGAGCTGTGGCTGTGTGCTCCCTGCTGGTCCCCAGGCTGGAGCCGGCCCTCCCCCGGCGCGTGGGCGCGGCCGGCGCTGCATCGCACTGCACTGCGGCGGCGCTGGGCGGGCACATGCGTACACGCGTGTGTGCCCGTGCATGCATGTGCGCGTGTCCGTGCGCGTGTGTGTGCGTGCCCGCGCGCTCCCGAGCTCCGGGCTGCGAGTCCCGGTTTGCTGGGAGCTGCGGTCCCTCGCCCCCGCCCCTTCCCACCAGCACCTCCTGGCTCCCAGGGAGACTTTGCCTAGCAACAGTGGGGGCGGCGGGAGGGGCGGAGGAGAGGGTGCTGGAGGGAGAGCAGGGGAGCAGAGGGGGAAAGAGGGGGGAGGAGGGAGAGGATGGCTTCTCATAGGCTCCTTGCAGCGCTCCCCCCTCCCTTCCGCCCCTGTCGCAGCGCTGTGGTTCTGCTCTCCCCCCTCCCCACCCCCGTTATTTATCAGGCTGGGCGAGGCTGGGGGAGGCTGGGGGAGGCTGGGCGAGGCTGGGGGAGGCTGGGGGAGGCTGGGGGAGGCTGGGCGAGGCTGGGGGAGGCTGGGCGAGGCTGGGCGAGGCTGGGGGAGGCTGGGAAAAGGATCCTTGGGGAGATAAGGCACTTGTGCTCATTCGTTCGGGAACAAAAGGAAGCCATCACGGCTCTCCCACGCAGGGCGGGGCTCCCGGTGCCTCTGTCCTGGCCACCTTCTCCTCCCATTACCCCCTTACCTGAGAGGACCCTGGCCCAGACCCAAGGGGAAGGGACGCTCGGTCCTTCAGGACTGACCTTCGCCCCCCCCTCCCCGTTCGTCCCCTCCCCCCCGCCCCGGATTCTGCCCTGGCTGCGGGCTAATTTCCCTGGAGCCGGAGCTCTGGGCCCAGGGAGGGGGCTGGAGACCAGGCGTCCAGCTGGCCACAGGCCCGCCGCCCGGGGGAGGCCGGTATGACCCAGGACTCGGGGTGTGCTGTCATGAAGCAGTTAGGGTGCTTCCTTCCCAAGGCCTCCACCACAGCATCCTCTTCCCCTGCGGCCGCCCCGTGCAGCTGGCTCCGGGCTCTGCCCGGCTGGGACTAGGCTCGAAAGGACCCCATCTGGTCCAGCCCACCCTGGTCCCAGCACCTCCAGGCCGCCCTGCGAGGGACCTGCTTCCTTGGGGAGAGCCAGGGCTCAGTGGAGTTCCCAGCGCGGTCCCCACTTGTCCCGCAAAACCGACACTGGATTTCCTGACCCGGCGCCCTGGCCAGCCTGCCCTGCCCTGTCACTCCCTGCGGGTCACCCTCGCGGCTCGGGCTGGCTCAGCCTTCGCCAGGGTGGCTGCCAAGGCCGGCCTGTGCCCCAGGCGGCCACTGCCAGGGTGCAGATGCCCGCTGACCCAGAGCCACCTCCCGGAACAGCTCAGAGGGCTCGGCGGCTGCCAGGCACCCTGTCACTGTGGGGCCGGGACTGGGCCGAGCTGAGGTCTGCACCCTGGGGGGCTCAGGAAAGCTGGACAGGGCATGTGCCAGGCCCAGACACCCGCCAGCAGCCAGCAGCAAGGGGAGTCTGGGGAGAAGGCAGGGGCCTGCGCAGAGGGGAGGGTGCTCAGAAACTGGCCTGGCAGAGGGCCCCGGCGGCTTAGCCAGGCCCCAGCTGTGAGGCTGGTGAGGGCTCCAGTGACGCGCCCACAGACTGGCACTGCGCAGGCTGCCCTGGACCTGAGGTCCCGTGCAGCTATCTTTCCTGCCACTCCTCTCCGTCTGGGTGCAGAGACCCAGCACCCAGGCCCACCCGGAAGGGCACCCTCCGAGCTTAGCGGCCCCGCCACCCCCGGCAGCTCTCTGTGCCCAGGCCCTGGTGCCCCAGGGGGAGCAGCGAAGAGTCACCAGCCCCACGGATGAGGCCTGCAGTCCCCCGTGGAGGCTATTGGGGCTCCTTGGCCCTCCCCCTCAGCCACAAGCATAACCCTGGGCATTTCAGATGCCTGGAGGGGGAGTAAAACCAGCTTAGGAACGGGGGACGGTGTGCCAGGGCGTCGCTGCGGAGGCTGGCTCCTTACGCTGAGAGGCAGAGCATTAACACAGCCTCCGCAGGCCCGGGCTCAGAGGGAAGCCCAGCCTCCCACCCTCTGTCTCTGAGCTCCGGCTGATGATGGCCTCCGGGCGCTTCAGGGGACAAGCCGGGGCAGCAGAGGGTGCCGGGACCCTGCTGCTCGGGGTCTGTCCAGAGAAGGGCCTTGTAGCAGCCTGGGGGCTTGTCCGGCCACTCGGATCCGGACCTGCTGGCAGGATGACAGCTGCAGGCCAAGCTCACATGCTCCTCTGGCCCAGGGAGACACCCACTGAGGGCGGAGACCCAGCCAGGCTTCGGGGGGGGGGGGGTGGACACCTCCCACTTCCTTCTGCCCACACCTGGCCCCCCGTGTCCCTCTCCCACGGCGCCGCCCTTACCGTCTAGTGACAGCCAGTCATGCTGCGAGGAGGGGAGCGTGGGCAGGGCCCGGGCTTTGTACTCGAACACCACGGAGTTGGAGATGATCTGGTTGTTGAAGGCAACTTGTAGGGTCACGAGGCCAGTGTCGTGGGCTGAAAGCAAAACGCAGAGCGGTCAGGATGGTGGGTTCCCTGCATCCCGGGGGCCATCGGGGACCCAAAGCCCCTCTCTAGCAACCTTTCCCGGGAACCCCGCGGCCTGCTTATCCCTGAGGCCCAACTGGGCTTCTTCCAGGAGCCTTCCCCGGAGCCCCAGCAGCCAGGTGCCCGGGACAGGCCACCGGCATTGTCATTGTCTCTGCCTCTCTGCTCCCGTGAGGGCAGGGACGGGAGCTCCATGCTGGGCTGCTGCATGAGTGAGCGAGTGAGTGAGCGAATGAGCGAGCGAGTGAGTGAGTGAATGAGTGAGTGGTGAGTGAATGAGTGAGTGAATGAATGAATGAATGGTGAGTGGTGAGCAGTGAGTGAGAGTGAATGAGTGAGTGAGTGAGTGAATGAATGAATGGTGAGTGGTGAGCAGTGAGTGAGAGTGAATGAGTGAGTGAGTGAATGAGTGAGTGAGTGAGTGAGTGAATGGTGAGTGGTGAGCGGTGAGTGAGAGTGAATGAGTGAGTGAGTGAGTGAGTGAATGAGTGAGTGAGTGAGTGAATGAATGAGTGAGTGAATGATGAGTGGTGAGCAGTGAGTGAGAGTGAATGAGTGAGTGAGTGAGTGAATGAATGAATGGTGAGTGGTGAGCAGTGAGTGAGAGTGAATGAGTGAGTGAGTGAATGAGTGAGTGAGTGAGTGAGTGAATGGTGAGTGGTGAGCGGTGAGTGAGAGTGAATGAGTGAGTGAGTGAGTGAGTGAATGAGTGAGTGAGTGAGTGAATGAATGAGTGAGTGAATGATGAGTGGTGAGCAGTGAGTGAGAGTGAATGAGTGAGTGAGTGAGTGAATGAATGAATGGTGAGTGGTGAGCAGTGAGTGAGAGTGAATGAGTGAGTGAGTGAGTGAGTGAATGAGTGAGTGAGTGAGTGAATGAATGAATGGTGAGTGGTGAGCGGTGAGTGAGAGTGAATGAGTGAGTGAGTGAATGAGTGAGTGAATGATGAGTGGTGAGCAGTGAGTGAGAGTGAATGAGTGAGTGAGTGAGTGAATGAATGAATGGTGAGTGGTGAGCAGTGAGTGAGAGTGAATGAGTGAGTGAGTGAGTGAGTGAATGAGTGAGTGAGTGAGTGAATGAATGAGTGAGTGAATGATGAGTGGTGAGCAGTGAGTGAGAGTGAATGAGTGAGTGAGTGAGTGAATGAATGAATGGTGAGTGGTGAGCAGTGAGTGAGAGTGAATGAGTGAGTGAGTGAGTGAGTGAATGAGTGAGTGAGTGAGTGAATGAATGAATGGTGAGTGGTGAGCGGTGAGTGAGAGTGAATGAGTGAGTGAGTGAATGAGTGGGTGAGTGAGTGAATGAATGAATGGTGAGTGGTGAGCGGTGAGTGAGAGTGAATGAGTGAGTGAGTGAGTGAGTGAATGAGTGAGTGAGTGAGTGAATGAATGAATGGTGAGTGGTGAGCGGTGAGTGAGAGTGAATGCCCCGTGGGCTGACCGACCTCTCCCTGCCCCATCCCCTCAGGCAGGGCGCGGTGTCCTTTGTGCTTCTCCGGTGTCGCCTGCCCTGCCAGCTCCTCCTGACTCACTGACACGGCCTCGTGTGTATTTTTAGTTCTCGCCTCCCCGATGGGCAGAGCTCCGGGGGCGCTCTGGGCCCCGGGTGCTGGCGTGAGTGTGCCCCCGCCCGCACCAGCCAGCAAGCTCCGGAGGCAGCCCGTGGGGCTCCTGGCTGGCCGGCCCCACGGAGGGGTGAGGACACGTGTGAGAGACTGAACGGGCTGTTCCATCGCCAGCGAGAGGCGAGCCCGCTCTGTTCTGGGCGAGGCTGCGGCCGTGGGTCCCTGCTGAAATCTTGGGGGCCGAGGCCTGGAGGCCGTGGTGGCTGTGCAGGTGGGGGTCCCGCCCGCAGGCCTGGCCCCCGAAGGCACCGGGCCCTGTGCTATCTGCCCCGTTTTTCTGGAACCGCCGATGCCAGCGCCCGGGCCTCCGGGACGGATTTCCAGGAGGACACACACGGCGATCGTGTTACTGTTTGGACGCCGGTCTCAGGAGCTCAGCCTGGGGGAGGCCGCCAGGCCAGCTGCTCCCGGGGCAGAGCAAAGCGCCACTTCCCTCCGCGGCGGCTCCGCCGGCCTCACTCCCATGGGGACACGGCTCGCTGGCCACCGTCCCTGGAGCAGGCCTTCAGGAAGGTGCTGCCAGGTGACCAGTGGGGCCCCCCGGGCTGTGCACCTGGATGTGGTCCCTCAGCCCCAGGCCACAGGCTGGGCCAGCTGGCTCCGTGGTGGGGGCAGGGGTCCCCAGCCACGTCCGGCACCCGGCAGCCGCCCACGCTGTGGCCACCCGCCTGCCCCGGGGATGAGCCTGGCTGCCCACAGGGAGGAAGGATGGCCAGGGCACACCCATCTGAGCCCGTCAGCTCTGCTCCTGGGTGAGCCTCCTGCAGGGCTCAAGGCTCCTCTGTCCCAGTCACCCCGGCTGGCGGGTCCTCCTCAGCTGCTGCTCTGCCTCCACCAGCTCCTGGCCCCGCACACGGCAGGTACAAAGGTGGCGGGTACAAAGGCGGCCTCCCTTCTCCAGGGAGACGGATGGGGAGGACCTGATGCAGGCTCCTGGGTCCCATCCAGCCGCTAGCTCTCACAGGCCCCTCCCACGGGTGCTTCCGGGACTCCCTTTCTCCTCCTTGAGCCTGTCCATCCGTGGGTCCTGGGTCCATGCCCTTCTGTCGCCTCACGGCCACCTCCCTGTCCACGCTGCATCACTCTCACTCAGCCTCCCGAGTGGGCCTCTGCTGGGACCTCAGCGCACCGGAGCCCGTGCCTGCCCGGATGCTCCATGAAACCAGAGGGAGCCCTGCACCCTCTGCCGCCTCCTGAGGTTTCCCTGCCTCTGCTCTTCCTCCCTGCGATCCACCTCCCACACACTCAGAACCATCTTCTCAGACAGAGTGTACACCCATCCCTCCCTCCCCGCCTCAAACTGCTTCCTGCAAGCAAAACCAAGCCAGACTCCCTCCCGGGACTTAGCAGAAGGTTGGACAGATTTCTCCAGCCTTCTGTGCTCAGCTCCCCGCTTTATCTCTCTCCAACCTGCCAAGTCTCTTCCTGCCTCAGGGCCTTTGCACGTCCTTTGCCCTCTGCCTGTGTGCTTCCCCCATCCCTCCCACGCCTGGCTTCACTTCCTCACTCAGGTGCCGGCCCTCGCCAGTCTTCCCGAGGTGCTTTACCAGGCCACCCCGTTTTTCGGGTCCTGATATGACTTCCTCCAGGCCTCTTGCTTATTTTTTGTTTTCTTGTTCTCTGTCAGTCCTGTGAGAGCTGGGACTGGGTCTGTCTCCATCTCACCTTCATGCCCAAGGCCAAGGTCAGGGCCTGGCACGTTGCAGCCGCTCAGGAACTGCCGAGCACATTGCTTCAAATCACAGGGCTATTGCTCACCGCCTTGTGAATGCCATCTTTTTTTCTTTTTTTTTTTTTTAAATGTTTTCTATTGATTGTCTTAGAGTGCGAGGTAGGGAGAGGGAGAGAGATAGAAACATGGATGAGAGAGGATCATCCATCGGCTGTCTCCTGCACGCCCCCTTCTGAGGATGGAGCCCACAACCCGGTGCTGTGCCCTGACCAGGAATCGAACCGTGACCTCTCGGTTCATAGATCAATGCTCAACCACCGAGCCGCGCCCTGGGCTTGGATTTCCTCTCCGGCGTGGACGTGGTCCCCAGGGCATCTTCCGCCTTCCGGTGACCTGCAGGCTCCGAACGCCACGTCTTCTTGTCGCTGGCTCCTCTCTCCCCAAGCCCGGCCCCGTTCCCAATGCCAGCCCCTTTCCGCTGCTGGGCCTTCACTGGGGCCTGGCTGGCCTGGCTGCCTCCCGACCTCGGGCCTGGGAGCGTGTGGGAGGCAGAGCCCACGCTGGTCTGCTGAGCCCAGCGGCAGGAGCGGCCGGAACTACTGTGTCCGAGGTCAGGGTGGACTCCCCTCCCCCATTTGGCTCTGTTGGCCTCTGAGGCTGTGGCTCTCGTTGCTCGGTGCTGTTGGTCCGAGCAGCAGGTTGTTAGAAGTCCAGGTGGCAGTGGCTCCCCACCCCCCCTCCCCGTGAGCAAGTGCGGAGCTCCGTCGTGGACGCGCGCCGAGCGTGAGCCAGGTGCTTCGGGGCTGCCGCACCTGCACTCCCTCCCACCTGGCAGGGCTGAAAGATGCAGAAACTGAGGCTGAGAGAGGCCAACCACCGACCAGTCACAGGACGGGACCTGCTGGTCCGGGCTGCACTGCTGGGGGCCGACCCAGCCCCAGCCCAGGATCCGCCAGCCCGGGCCTGGGCACCGCCCAGAGGGCACGCAAAGAGCAGTTGTGGTGCTGCGTTTTGAGGGTCAGAGAACTGAGGTCTGGGTCCCCCGCCAGGCAGGGTCAGGTATAGGAAGTGGGGCTATTTATAGGCTGGACCGGGTCAGTCTCGGCAGCAGGTGATAAGTGGGCAGCTTAACAACACGCCACCCTCTCCCGGGCCCCCTGCCCTCCTCCCGGCAGGGCTGGGACACTCCGCACAGGCCCCGCTGTGAAGGCCGACCCAGGCGGGCAGGGCTGCTGGGGGCCGAGGGGGCCGAGTGGGTCCTTGGGAGGCAGCCGGCGGGGGCAGGGCCGGCAGAGCCTGGCCCCCGGGGTCGGCTGGTGGAGGAGGTGATGGGTTCGAGTGGAGGCTGAGCTTGTGAGCCCAGCGTGGGAGCTGCCCAGGGAGATGGAGAGGAGACTCTGCACCCCTCCTCCCCGCAGAGGAAACTGGCACCTGGCACAGCCGCTGCTGCCGCTGCCCTGGGACCCCACCCTCAACCCTACCCCCACCCTCACCCCCACCCCCACCCCCACCCCCGCCCCCACCCCCACCCCTGCCCCCACCCCCACCCCCACCCGCCACCTTGGCAGAGATCGCCCTCTTCTTTGGGAGGCCCCCGGCTTCAGATGGCACAGGGTGGGCTGCCCATGCCACCCGCCTCCCTGGGTCACTGCCTGGGAGGGTGGGACCCATCGTCCCTGGGGCGACCGGTGTGGGAGGGGCCAAGGTGGTCCCAGCACCAGCCCGGGGCACAGAAAGCCCGAGCTCTGGACGGGCTCCCGCACAAATCACGTGCTCTCGCTCCTCCTGGTGCCACGCCGGGGGCCCCTTTGCAGCCGTGGGGACTCGGTGACCAAGAAAGACAGACCCCCCCCCTCCCCGAGAGGGGCTGACAGGCCCCTGGGAGGCGGCGAGGACAGGTCACCAGATGATGAACCCCGAGGACAGCCCCGGGTCTCCCGCCCCTGAACCCGGGAGCAGATTCTGTGCAGGCACCTCCTCCGGGGCCCTGGTGGGCAGGTGTCTTCGTCAAACCTCCAAGGAGCTTGTGTGGACTGGTCTGAGTCTGACTCCCCTTCCCCACCGCCCACCAAGCTCTGACTGCTCTGTGCCCCCACCGCCTGGGCTCTCAGCCGGCTGGCTCGGAGAGAGGTCCGTGTGCTGCAGGGATGGCCTCTGACCTCACGCAGCTCCCGTGGGGCCACCTGCCCAGCTCCCACCGGCTCCCGCAACCCCTCAGGGCTGGGAGGTTAGAGCTTCCGCTGTGGCCAATCTGGGTGCACTGGCCCCTCATCGCCCAAGCCCCACCTGTCCCTGCCCCATACGGGGTCCATGAGGGGAATGGAGGCTGTTATAACAGCACATCCGGGACCCACTTGTTCACACCTGAGGGATGAGGCTCGGAGCGACGGCTCAGCTCGCTCAGGGGGCCCGCGTCCAGGCCCCTCTCACCTGGGCAGTAGCAGCGCAGCACTCCGGGCTGGATGAGGGACGCAGGCACTGAGATCTGGTCGAACAGGCAGCTGTAGTTATTGCTGGCTTCTTGCCACGGGCCTGTGATGAGAACCTTCACTCCTCCCTGGAGGGGACAGACAGCGGGACAGCGTCAGCACCGCACCCCCTGTGGGGAAGCCCTGGTCTCTGGGGGCCCGTGCCCCTCGCTCCCTCAGCTGGCACCCAGCACGGGCGGCAGTGTGACCCATGACCCCTCCTGTGTAACGCCGGTTCCAGCAGAAGGAGCAGAGTTTTCTAACCTTTTCAGCCCTGACGCCCCTGGGGACCGGCCCGGTGGAACCCGGGAAGGAGGGGGGGACGGGGAAGGGGCCTGTCTGCCTGGGCTGTGGGCAGACCGCGGGGGGCTCCGGTCTGGAGGAGGCCTGGGCACCTCAGTGTCCTGCGGGGACTGATGCCTGGTGGCAGTGCGAGGGTCCAGGACCCAGGTCTGGGGGGATCGCCACGAAGGGGCAGGCCTGGCTCTGGAGATGGCACGTGACAGCGAGGCAGCCGCAGTCTGGAGGGCAGTGGAGGGAGCACAGGAGCCCGAAGCAGGAGGTGCCGTGGCCCTGCGTCCTCAGGCCAGCGGGCCAGCCTCCCTGGTGGCTCCTGGCCTCCAGGGCCCCTGGCCCTGCTTCCCCCGGCGCAGAGCTATGGCCCTGCAGGGAGAGGCGGGCTCTGTGGGAAGGGCGGGCTGGGCGTGGGTGCCGGCTGGGCAGGGGCCCCATGCCCCTGACTTTGGGATGCCTGACAGCACAGGCCAGCTCGGGGGGCTGCCCTCCTGGTTCCTGGGAAGGGAGAGAGCAGTGGCTTCAAAAGGCCACGGTGACCACGTGAGGAGAAAGGGAGAGGAAAATAACAGCGTCCACAGCTGCCGGCAGGAAGCCAGGCCGCTGCGGGGGACAAAGGGCTGCAGAGAGCACTGCGGAGCCAGGGCCTTCTCCATGGCAACCGTGAGCCAGGGCCTTCTCCATGGCAACAGCGCAGGAGGGGCTCAGCATCCTTTGGTTCAGGGGATGGTTTCCATGGCAACCCTCGCTCTGCTGCGCTGAGCCGCTGTGGCGCAGGCACCTGAAAGCTCTAATTGCATCCTCCCCTGCCGGGTGCCGCAGGAGTGGGTGCAGGGAGGGGACACGGAGGGCTGGGGGAGGGGAGGGAGCAGCAAATGCCACTGAGGTCGCTGTGTCCTAGAAAGTCCTCAGATGAAGGACCCAGATTTCTGATGCACCTAGGGCAGATCCTGAGGACCAGGGCAACCCCCGCGTGTTTGTGTGTGTGTGTATGCATGTGTGCATGTGTGTATTCATGCATGCATGTGTATGTGGCTGCCTGCAGCTGGAGGTGAAGAGAACAGAACACGGAAATGGGAGATGCCTGTGGGAGGGGGGACCCTCTGAGAAGAGACAGCAAGGTGGCCCCGGCCTTGGCGTTCCTGCAAAGTGGGTGCACCTGACCCCCTATTTACAGACTGGGCGGTGTCCCAGGCCTGGGTGTCTCAGCACAGAGCCCTCTGGAGCCTGGCTGGAACCGGGGTCCTGACGCTGTCAGCCGGTGGAGCAGGGGAGGGGTGAGCATGCCAGCCAGGGGGTGGTGAGGGAGGGGAGGGGAGGACAGCAGAGGAGGGGGTGTCTCTTGCAGGAGAGCCCAGGAGGGGGCCCCTGCTGCCCACTGGGGACTGTGGGAGGGAAGCGCTCCTGGGGCCTCCGCAGAGGTCTCTCCGCTCAGCCACATCGGTGGCTTCTGCGCATTTTCCAAATCACATTGAGTCTGAGTTGCTTTTGTTCCCAGCAGCTGTCATCACCCGGGGCTGCTGGGAAACTAGGGCAGATGCTCCCTCAGCGAGGTTCCTGTTCCCGTGCCGCCCTCTGGTGACCAGTGGCTGAACTGCATGGACCTGCAACTGGGACTCAGGGGCAGAACAGAGAGGAGGAGGCCCGGCCTGCTGAGGGCACTCCCTAAGGCGCCCGCCAGGGCCCGTGGGCCAAGGAGGCCTGAGTGCGGGCTGGACAGGCCCAGGACCTGCTCGCCCGGCTGAGGCCCTGGGGCAGAGGTCTCCCCCTCCTGCCCTTCAGCTCCCGCAGGACTCGGGCTGCAGGGAGCCTCAGCGTGTCCCAGGACCTGATGCTCAGGGTCCAGGCTCTGAGCCAGACCTAAAGCCAATGCTCCCAGCCCTGACCCCTGGGCAGCCCAGGCCCGGTCTCCTTCCTGCTCCCTCAGAATTGCTCTCTCAGCCTCATATGCCTGGCGTGTGTGTGTGTGTGTGTGTGTGTGTGTGTGTGTGTGTGCAGGGGGGCCAAGCTGCTGGGCTGAGCTGACCTTTCACCCTGGGGAACGTGGTGGGTACTGGGACCTCTGTGTCCCTAAGGGGGTCGCCCCGAGCCAGGCAAGGGAAACCAGCTGGAACCGTCTAGAGTCTTGAGGGGGGCAGTTGGGAGGTGGACAGAAGACACAGGTGCTGCATGGCCAGGCCCCTCACCACATGGGGCAGCTGCCCCCGGACACGCGGGGATGTTAACGCCCAGCACCCGTGGCTGCGCACGGCGGGAGCTGCTCTGACCGGACACCGGCCGTGCTGCCAGGCTCCTGTCCGGAGGCGGGGCCCCCAGCTGGTGGTCGTGGCGCCTGGGACTGGGGCGCTGGCATGCGGATTTGATCTCAGCTTTGCCAGGAAGGAAGCGGGCAGAGCAGGTATGAGCCTCCTGGCCTTGTCTGTGACACTGAGGCCCATAGTCCAGGGACCCCGCCAAGATTGTACATGGTTAGCCAATGAGCAGCCTGTTTTCACAGCCAAGGCAGGAGGGCCTGGACAGGGCACTGTGGCCGAGGACTGACCGCTATTCACTGACGACATACTGTGGGCCAAAGGCTTCACCAAGCTCTCCTGGCACCATGCCCCAGGCAGGTGCTGCTACAGCCCCATCTCACAGGTGAGGAAACCGAGTCCAAGAGGCTCAGGACGGCAGAGCCAGGCTTTGCACCTGAGTGTGCTCCCTCACCAGAGCCTGCGAGAGACTCGCAGCAGGTGCCAGCTCTGAGGGGTGCGTTACCTGGGTGGGCATCGTGCCAGGACCCCTGCCAGCGCCTGGGTCTGGAAGGTGCCTGGGCTGTGGCCAGCATCCCTCACTGCCTGGCTGAGGCAGTCTGTCCCTGCCTCAGCTCAGGGAGCCCAGGAGGGTCAGGGTCCTGCGAGAGCATCCTTTCCTTGTCGGGGCCGCAGCCCCTCCCCTCCGCTGGCATCGAGGGAACGTGGCAGTGGCCCCAGGGGAGCCATCAGCAGCCACCAACTGGGAGAAAGGGACAATCTGGGCCCGAGCACCCGGCCGGTGGGCTGAGAGGAGTGGAGGAGTGGGCCCCGGGGTGCAGCGAGCGGAAGGCTGGGGCGTCGCCCCTTCCTGGGTCATACTCGCTGGAGAGAGGGCCAAGGTCGCTGCCTGAAGCACGTGCTGCCGTGGCCCACGGGCTTCCTGCAGCTCTGGGCTCGGGGGTGGAGGGATGGGGGGCAGGGAAGGGGGTCCTGGGGTCACAGAACATGCCTTTGACTTTGCCAAGGTCCGACTGAACCAAGCGCGTCTGACAGAAGCCTGTCCAGAGGCTGGCCCTCCCGCTGTGTTTGCTGGGAGTTGGCTTTTGCTTGGTATGGTGATCTATGACGCTGACTTTCCAATGGTCTTTTCCAGCTCCAGGAGCCTCCCCCTGCCGCCTCCCCCAAAGCAAAGCAAAGCGGAGGCGGCATCTTAACACACAAGCCGGTGGCAGCGGGCTGCTCTGGCCGGAGGGGCCCCGGCCTCCGCGGAGACCCCTGGCTTAGAGCTACAGGCCGTGCTGGAGACTGAGCTCCGGGCTGGGGCGGGGAGGTATCGCAGATGACCGGGAGGGGCCCGTGTGGCCTTCCTGGTCTGGAGAGCCACCTGCACATGAGCTCCCTCAGCTCCATGGGGGTAACGGGGGGTGGTGAGCAGGTGAGATGATGGTGACGGGGAGGTCCCGGCACCTGCCACTCACCTCCGGGTAGGACCACTCCGGGGAATAGTCAGTCACCATGAACACGCGTCCGCTCTGCTGCAGCATCCCCAGGGTGCCCTGGGCCGAGGCGGCCGAGACCACCTCGGCGACGTGCATGTAGGCCATGGCGCCGGCCCCGCCCTCGCCGCCGAGCTGCAGGCCGCCCTGCTGGGGGCTGCAGCAGGGGATGCACATCTCGGCCTGGGCGAAGGGGGCGCGGGCCCCGTCCTCCGCCTGCGAGAGCGCCGCGCCGTCGCCCGCCACCAGCGGGTGCCCGTAGAGGGCGCCGCCGCCCCCCTCCACGGAGATGAAGTCGTTGATCAGGTCGGAGAACTGGTTGCCGAAGGAGATGTCAAAGTGGTCCAGGCTGAGCTCCATGTTGGAGGCGTTGCCCAGGCCGTGCTGGGCCACGGGGTACAGCCCCTGCACCACGCTCCCCGGGAGGAGGGGGACGCCGGCCGTGCTGCGGATCACCCCGGGGGTCTCGGGCTGCAGGTAGTGCTCGGAGCCGCAGGCCTGCAGCTCCCCGGACTTGATCAGGCCCTCGCCCCCCTCGGCCACCTGCGAGGTCTCCATGGTGACCTCCCCGTCCGCGGCCATGGCCTGGAAGCTGGCCTGGAACTGCATGAGGTGGAGGGCCGGGGCGGGCTCTCCCCGCGGCTCCACGTGGCCGCTGCAGGAGCTGGCCTGCGCGGGCGCCTCCGTTTTCACCGTGGGCATCACGAAGGCGCCCCCCGAGTCGCTCAGGCTGCCATGGGCGCCCTGCTCCAGCGGGAGGGGCTTGCCGGCGTCCTGCAGGAAGAAGCTGGGGGAGGGGGTCTGGTGGATGTGGGGGCTGTGGCCCGTCTGGCTGAAGCCGGACGCGTAGTCCTTGTTGGAGTCGATGGCGCTGAAATCCATCTGCTCCAGGGTGGTGCTGGGGCTCAGGCCGCCGCCCGAGGGCAGCAGCCCGGGGCCCGCGCTCAGGCCCAGGGCGCCGGCCGCGGCCGCCGTGGAGGAGTACGCCTCCTTGGCCATCTGCTGCTCGAAGGACGTGTCCTCCGTCTTGATCTCCTTGGCGAGGACGGGGGTGAAGCCGAAGGGCCGCTCCGCGGGCGGCGAGTGCCGCACCAGCTCGGCCTTGAGGCCCCCGCCCCCGTACGTCTGGCCCTGCTTCGGGTTGTTGAGGAAGCAGTCAGGGTCGAAGTTCATGGCGGCCTCCGGGAGCTTCCGGCCGCCGTCCAGGGTGGTGGAGAGGACCAGCTCCTCGGAGACGCTGGAGGGCAGCATGGCCAGGCCGTCCGCGCCGCCCGGCGTGGGGAAGGCGAACTTGTGGCCGTCGGAGCTCATGGCCAGGACCAGGCCCTGCGAGGCGTCGGGCGAGAGGAGGTGGTGGTTGGGGCCGGCGGTGGGGGACATGGTGTACACGGCCTCGTTGGTGACCTCGGACATGAAGACCGTGGCGCTCTGCGACAGGCTCCCCATCACGGAGGCCACGGCCATGCTGGACACGCCGGTGACCACGGGGCTGTCGGCCATGTCGGGGTCGCTGTTGAGGCCGCTGCTGATGGACACGGGCGAGCTCTGGGTGGTGTCGGGCACCTCCACCTGGTTGGTGGACGAGACCTCGGTGCTGCTCTGGTGCAGCAGCACGGGCTTGGCCACCTTGCCGTTCCTCTTCTCGCGGCCCGAGCCCTTGCCGTGGCTGTGCTCCTGCTTGCCCTCCGACACGTCATTGTGCTGCACCTCCGAGTGGCCGCCGTAGCCCCCCGTCCGCGGCTCCACCTTCGGCGAGATGATGCGGTGTTTGGCACTGTTGCACTTGTGATGTGCACTGCTGCCCGCTCCTGTAGAGGCCAGAGGCACAGCACGCACACACGTATGTCGCACACGCGCACCCACACACGCACACACATATACATACGTGCACACACACACATATACATACGTGCACACACACACACATATACACACACGTGCGCGCGCACACACACACACACACACACACACACACACACAAAGAGAGTGTCAGGGCTGGGCTGTAGCAGACTCTGTCTCCGAGCAGCTGGCACCTGGCAGAGCCCCTCCCAGGAGCCCCGGAGCCCCTGGGGCTGGCGTGCAGCAGCCACTCAGGATTGGGGCCTCCTGACCCCGGCCCAGGCTCTCCTGTGCCCTGGTCACCACCCGCACCCCGCACACCAGGCCCCTTTCCTCCGCTCACTTTGCAAATAGTGGCAGCAGAGCCCCGGCCACAGGAGGAGAGGACGAGAAGGCGTTCTCCAGGGAGACCCTCCACCCTCGGAGCGGAGCAGCTGCCTTCCCTGCCCTGGCTCTCGCTGGCCGGGCTCAGCTGGGAGGGAAGGGGTGGCCTGGTCCCTCTCTTTACCCCCTGCGAGCACCCATGCCCACAGGCCGGGCAGCAGGCAGGGAGCCTCTCTCTCCTCCAGGCGGCAGGGAGTCGGGGTGGAGGGGACCCGAGAGCAAGGCATGCTCCCTGGGTCGCTCCCAGGCCCCACGGCCAAAGGGGGCGCAGGCTGCTCTGTGGGCCGAAGGCATTCGGGGCCACCAGCCTCTGTGCAGCTGGCTGCACCGGTCCCCAGCTCTCTGCGGGGCGAACACCTTCCGAAACACAGCAAGGAGAGCGCCCCTGCCAGGCTCCGGGGCAGAGACGGAAACGCCACACGGCGTCCGGGCCCCAGCGGGACGGGGCTCATGCCCGCCAGGACCCCAGGACGCCGTCTCCCGCCTTCCTCTCCCACTCCATCCTCATTCCCATCCCGTCTGGGAAGGGTCAGTTTGCTTCTATAAAAAGGTGAATCCCCCGCCCCCTCAATCCCATGGCAGCCTCGTCACCACCATCCCTGAACCCCTACGTGCAGGCAGACGTGGCGGGAAGCGGTGCAGGTGAGAGAAACGCCGTGACCAGGAGCAGACCCCGATGGAGCGTGCGGGGCCTTGGACGCTCTGGGAGGAGGCGGGGGTCAGAGACAGCGGTTTGGCCTGAGTGGCCACTGACTCAGGACTGACCCGGGAAGCAGGGCTGGCCTCGTGCCCAGGGACCTGGGTCCCCTGCTGACGTGGCCCAAGCACTGGAGGCCTGGAGGGCACTGTGGTGGGGGGGACAGAGGCAGGAGCCCCATCCCCATGCACCCCAACTCTGCTGTCCCCACTCCCGGGGGAGCTGCCTCTGCCCAAAGTGGGCGCCCGCCGGCTGTGGGCAGGATGAGGCCGAGTCCGGCCTGAGCCCGGCTGACCCCTCCCCTCACTGGCCATCACGGCGACCCCCGAGGAGGAGAGCCGGTGCCCGCCCGCCCGCGGCGCCCGCCCCGCTCACCCAGGCCGCCGGCGCACAGGCAGTTGTGGGTCCGCGGCTGCGGCTTGGTCTGGTGGCTGTCGAGGATCTGCTGCACCAGCTGCTCCACGGAGAAGCCCGAGCTGCTGTTGCCGTTGCTGCAGGTCCACTTGATGCCGTGGACTGGGGAGACAGGGCGGGTCAGAGCCGCGGGGTGCACGGAGGGCACGGAGGGCGGGAGCCAGGCCCCCCCACAGCTCAGCCCCTCCCTTCCTACTGGGAGGCTGGCTCTGGGGCCACAGGAGGAGGCCAGAGGGAGCCCAGGCTGCCCTGCTATCCCCTCCCCTCGCACCCCCTCCCCGGCCCCCGGGGCTCTCTGCTCTTCCTCCCGCCTTCCCCTCGGATGCAGCCGGGAATGGTCCTCTCCGGTTTCCCCAAGTGCAAGTGCGCCAGGTGACCCTTCATGGGGCCCTGGAGCGGGAGGGAAAGGACCCCCTGGACTGCAGGTCGTGGGGACCCAGAGGGGAGGTCGGAGGGGGGGGTGGTGGAAGGGTCGCAGCAGCGGGCTGGGAGGACCTGCCCCAGGCAGTGCTTTCCTCCCGACTTCTCGGCCTCAAGGGGCTGAGGGGCAGGCCCGCGGGCCCACCTGGCCTGGGCGGTGGTGCCCACAGTGACTGGCCACCTGGGCGGCTCATCGCTCCTTAAGTGGCACCCGCATGGCCGAGAGCCATCTCCCCACCGGCTGGGCAGGATGGGCCAGAACCCCAAAATAAACCGACTCTCGGTTTGGCTCAGTGGTAGAGCGTCGGTCTGCGGACTGAAAGGTCCCGGGTTCGATTCCGGTCAAGGGCATGTACCTTGGTTGCGGGCACATCCCCAGTGGGGGGTGTGCAGGAGGCAGCTGATCGATGTTTCTCTCTCATTGACGTTTCTAACTCTCTATCTCTCTCCCTTCCTCTCTGTAAAAAAATCAATAAAATTTATTAAAAAAACAAAAACAAAATAAACCGACTCGCCCGCCCGCTGAGTGTGCGGGCTGGCTGCGGTTCACGCCCACCCGGCCGAGAGGTGGCCAGGCCCGGGGGCAGGTGGCCCGGCCCGGCCGGCGCGGGAGGCTCTGGGAGCCAGCCCTGGAGGCGGCAGATCCACAGCCGGCTCCCGGGGGCCCAGGCTGCGGGACGGGGACGCTGGGAGCAGGCGGCCTGGGCGGAGGGGCAGGGCCCAGGCCACACCAGGGAGAGGCCAGGGCTGTGCGGCTGCGAGAACAGCCTCTCTCCTCTGGCTGAGCTTCTCCCAGGGCTCCCGGCTCCTGCCCTGGTCTGGGAGGGACTCCGGGACACAGATGTACCAGGAGCCCGTCCACACAGGGCGGAGCCCGCTCACACTCACACCGGAGCGGGGCCCAGATTTCGGCCTTTCCCTGCTGTGTGGGTCTGAGCAAGCCGCCAAGCCTCTCCGAGCCTCAGTGTGCACGTCTGTACAATGGGAATCTAATCGTATCTGCCCGGCACACTGACGCAGAGGAAACCCGACGGGTCCGCCACCCGGCACGTCATGTGTCCCCAACAAAGAGCCGCTGTTGTCACAGCCGCTCACGGTGACGGTGGTGACCCCCAGCACGAAATGCCTGCCTCGGCGGCTGGCCGCTGCCATGGCAACGTGGGTGCCCGCTGTGCAATCTCAGATGCTCAGCCTCTGCAGGCGGACAGGGGAGAGCTCCCAGGCGGGTACCGCGTGCCCCGGCTCCGTCCGCACCGGGGTGTGGAACGGCAGTGGTTTGGCAAAGAGGACCCCACGCGTGAGGGTCGGGATCTGCCAGGCTCCCTCTCGGATGCTCTCCCTCCGCACCTGCCCGCTGCTTGCTCACGGTCCTTGCCCTAAAGAGGCCCTCCTGGCGCCCATGGGGCTCGGCCGCCAGCACCTTCTTCGGCACCGGGCCCACAATCCTGTCCTGCGGCTCCTGGATCCCAGCAGGTGATCAGGGGAAGGGGGTGCTTCTGCCCCAAGCTCAGCGAGCTGCCTGGCTCTGGGGGCAGCTGTGTGCGCCTGTTCAGAGCGCAATGGATGGGCACATCGGGGGTGGCGGTGGCTTCACCACCCGCCTTTCCTCCAACGGGCAGCCTCGGCCTTGGGCTCCCTCGGGGAGTTCGGCAGTGCAGGAGGCCCGGATCCTGCTGGCTCCGCCACCTCCCCCCTCACCCCCCCCCCCCCCCCCACAGCTAGAAGGGAAGCCGGACTAGGGCTGTGGACTCATCACAGCTCCAGAGCCCTCTGCTCCAGCAAACCTTCCTGGGAAATTGGACATGGAAGGCAGGTGACAGCACGGGCCTGGCGGAGGCAGGGGGGAGGGTCCTGGGCCCTTGGGGAGGACCTTCCCCAGACTCCTCCTCCTGCAGGTGAGAGCCTGGAGTGAAGTGGGGGGAAGGAGGGAGGGGGAGGCAGAGCGCAGGCCTCGAGGGCCCTCCCCCGGCACCGCTGCACACGCATGGTCTGTCCGCGCCCACCCAGCACCGGCGGAGACTCTGGCGTCCGTGTCCGGGCAGTGCCAGGGTCTGAGGAAGCTCTCAGGAGACCCCAGTGCAGGCGGACGGAGCACACACAGCCCGAGCCTCGTTCCTCAGCTCTGCGGCCGAGGAGGGCCGCCCGAAGCTCAGCAGGGCGTCACGGGCGTGACCAGGGCGGCTCTGAGCGGGGGCTCCTGGCAGGACCAGGCAGGTGCTCTCAGGGGAGCCCGGGGGCCCGAGCAGCTGTTGGGGGATGCTCTCCCGCTCTGGTTTCCAGCGCGTGGCCACACCCACCCAAAGGCCTTAGGGGCGGGCGAGCTTGCTGATCCCGGCGTGGCAGACACCTCTGGCATCTGTGCCCGACCAGGTCCCTGCTGTCCCCGACCAGGTCCCCGTCACCCCTGACCAGGTTCCCGTCACCCCTGACCAGGTCCCCATCACTCCTGACCAGGTCCCCGTCACCCCGACCAAGTCCCTGTCACCCCGACCAGGTCCCCGTCACCCCGATCAAAGTGCCCGGACCAGGCTCTGCTCGGCCCCACGGGCGGCTGCCCCCTCCTGCTGGGAAGGCTACAAGGCGAAACCAGGGAGCAGACAGACTGCAAGCAGGACTCTGGATGTCCCGGAACTTCCACATCCATGTGTAGCTCGCCCCCTCGCCCCCGCCCCTGCCCCGCCTCTGGGGAGCCCCTCCCCACGGGAGCTGTTAGCGTGAACATCAAACACCATCAGGACGGCTAATGCCACGCTCTGCTCCCGCCAGACAATGGGTCAGCAGAAAGGAAGCCCCTGGGGTGGGCGCTTTGAGCAGGACGGTTAATGATCTCGCTCGCTGACCCCCCCAAAGCCCTCCCACCACGGACTCAGCAGAGGGAGCTGCGCCGAAAGTGCACTTGACAAAAAGCAGGGCCACGGCCTGGACGGGGCACCGAAGGGGGAAAAGGGGGTTCCCAGGAAACCGCCTCCTGGGGGCTGTGGTCCTGGCGGGCCCCTCTCACTGAACCTCGGTGGAGGCGCCCAGGCCACAGAGGACAGAGGATGGAGGACGGAGGATGGAGTTCCGGCCGGTCAGCGTCCCTGGGCCGCTCCAGCAGTGGAGGGGACCTGTTTGCCCGGAAGTTGGGCCAGGGAAGGTCCCAGAGAGGGTGGGTGTGGCCAAGCTCAGGACAGGAGCGGCCCTGCTGGCCCCCGGAAGTGGGGGCCCCATGGCTTCCCCAGCAGTCCACGTGTACCGGGGCCAACACTGGCTCCGGCTGTGCCACCAGCAGCTGCCCCGCGTGAGGACTGGTCCCGAGAGGGGGCTGGGCGGGTGGCTGTCCCCGGAACCCACAGGCCCATGCCCACAGGGACCTGGCTGGTGCCCACCACTGCCCGCCGGTGCCCGCCACTTGCGCTAACCACCACCCCTGGCTATCCCGCGGCGCCCTGCTGATCTGAATAGTCAACAGGAAATCCATGGCAGCAGCGTGGGGCCTGCTTCGGAGAGCATCTTCTCCGGGACAATTTGCCCGAGAGGCGGCCACCCGCGGGGAGAGTAATTGAGATGTGGAGGCAGGGTTGGGGGGAAGGGTGAGGTTGGGGGGAGGGTGGGGTGACCCCCCTGGGGCTGGCTGCTCCATCCCTGCCCTGGGGAGAGGCGGAGAGCTGTGGCTGGGGCAGACAACGCTGTCCCCCCTGCATGGACAGAATCGTGCGCCCCAGCATGCTTAGGTTGAAAGATGACCCCCAGGGGACTGTGTTTGCAGACAGGGCCTTTCAGAGCTGGACGAGGTGGAGTGAGGGCCTCGGGTGGGGCCTACCCCAGCAGGACGTGTGTCCTGTCGGAGGAGGAAGAGGGAGCAGGATGGTGCACAGGCAGGACGAGCCTATGAGGACGCAGCAGGAGGCGGCCGGCGGCAGGCCGGAAGCGGGGCCTCCCCGGAACCCTACCCAGCCGACCCGCACCTTGATCCTGGACTTCCGCCTCCGGACTGTGTGAAAATTAATTCGCTGAAGCCGCAGAGTCTGTGGTGTGCCGCCCCCCGGCATAGAGATCACATCTCTAATCTCTCAACAACCTTCTCAGGAGAATTACCGTCGCGTCTATTAATTCGAGGACCAAGATGCGGGAAGTCATGTGACTGACGCTGCAGAGAAGGGGCGGGAGGGGCTGCAGAGTCAGGCTCGTCCCGCTGCACCCCTCCTGGGACCCAGGCATGCCTGGATGGAGGAGGGGCTGCGGCCCCCATTGAGGGGGGGGGGATTCCTTCCACTGAAAGCCAGACTCATGTCACTGCCTGGAGAGAGGGTGTCCAGGTCACAGGGGTGGGAGCTGGGGACTGGGCAGGAACCTGGGGCTGGGCCAGGTGCTGACCCCAGCCCACTGCCCACCTGCCGTGTCCTGCCCTCTGACTACGGAGGATGCCACCGTCTCACAAGGACCAGGCTCTGAACCCTGGCTCCTCCCTTGTGACAGCTGGGCAGCCAGGCCACCCAGACCAGGGAGAGGCTCCCGGCCGGGCCCCCAGGTGCAGGGGGGAGAGGGTGGTGTGACCTGCCTGTCCCTGGAGGGTCTGGAGCTAGCAAGAGAGGGTGGGGGGCTGGGCCAGGAGCCAGGAGCCAGGAGCCAGGAGCCAGGCTCAGGGCTGAACCTGGGCCTCTGGGTCCCTGGAGGCCTGGCCGCCTTCAGAGCGGAGGAGG